ACGAGGTCCATCTCCAAAAGGTAGATAAGTACCACTAGTTCGCCCTGCTTTTTCTTCGTCAGAGAATCTATCTGGATCAAATTTCAAAGGTTCAGGATAATACTTACTATCCATATGCAAACTGTACATAGGTATTAGTATTTTTGAGCCTTTTTTTAGTATTAAATCTTCATCGGGTAGTTGATAGTCTTTTGTCACTTCTCGAGTGAGCGAAGGTGCCGGTGGATATTTTCTTAAAGTTTCTAAAAAAAAATAATTAATAATGGACATACATGTAATAAATATTTCGAGAAATTTAATAAATTATATTTTTACCTGCTATAACCCTTTCTAAATAGTGCAAATCGGATAAAAATTCACTATTGATTTTTCCATCGTGTTTTGCCATTAAATGAGTCATTTCTTCACGAACTCGACCTTGGATAGACTTATGTAATGCCAGTTCGTAAAGACAAAAACTCATAGTCGTAGATACGGTTTCGAAACCAGCAAGATACATAAGAAATGCGTTAGCAATTATGTCCATGTACTTAAATTCAACTGTAAAAATATGTATTGCATAATACATTAGTATTTTAATTAGAAAGTTGTCATACTAATAATAACTAAAATTATAATTACTCAAATATTTCAATAGCTCAGAACACGCTATAAAATCATTCTATGTAAATATATGGAGTGAAACAGTTGTAATGTACACATACATTAACATTAGGGTAGTCCTGAATTTTCATTTTATTTTTATATTTTAGCAATATACCTTCCTATGAATACAGAACACTATAAAAACTTATTAAAAAAAAATTCCCAAACATGCAAGCTGAAATTTTTGGTAAATATCTAGTTTTGTTTATTTGTATTATATCAATTGATATTTGTTATGAACAATTTAAGTGGCATTATAATAATCTCCATAAAAAAACAAATCAAGAATTATTTAATGAAAATTGAGTTCGATATTNATTAGAGGCGAATCAGTTTTCTCACATGGTTCTACCTCATATCTCGTCAGCAATTCAGTCAACGCTAGTTTCATTTCCATTTCAGAAAAACGTTTTCCTATGATAAAATATAAATAATTTCTGAGTTATAATTAAACATAATTTAATTTTCGAAATTTACCAATACAAACACGAGGTCCATCTCCAAAAGGTAGATAAGTACCACTAGTTCGCCCTGCTCTTCCTTCGTCAGAGAATCTATCTGGATCAAATTTCAAAGGTTCTGGATAATACTTACTATCCATATGCAAACTGTACATAGGTATTAGTATTTTTGAGCCTTTTTTTAGTATTAGATCTTCATCGGGTAGTTGATAGTCTTTTGTCACTTCTCGAGTGAGCGAAGGTGCTGGTGGATATTTTCTTAAAGTTTCTAAAAAAAAATAATTAATAATGANATTTTGAAATTCTTGAAAAAAAAAAAACAAAAATTCCAATTTTTAATTATTTTTGACTTAAAAGTTAAAAAATCATAAAAATATGCTTAAAACGCAGTCTGTACAACTACCGCCGGCCGATCACCCAGAGATTAAACAATACCTCTTTTTTGCTATTAATTAAGCTATTTAATAATAATATAATAATATTCATTTCAATTAACCCCATACTTGAACAATGTTTCACACAAACAAATTTTTATATAAAAATATACAATAAATATTTTTAACCGATTCGACCTGTTGATTGTTTTCTTCCACTCGTGTTTGACTCGAGACGCTTTTAAATGTTCGGTAGGTCGCTACAATACGATACGCATCAGCCTCGCCAATTACACGTTAATTCTCAATAACGTGAACCAAAACCGTAATTTAAAAAAAAACCGCAATATTATACCGCCGAACAAACAATATTCTCGGTCATCGATAATTTTAGTTATAACAAAACGAGAATAATTATAACAGACAACAAACTCAAAGACCGCATTTAATTTACGCTGTGTAACTGATGACGGCAAAAAACACAGCACAGGGAGGTCACGGCACAGTGGTGACATAGTTGGATCAAGTATAATAATATCTGACAGTGATTAAAATCACTATAAAAAAAAAACGCTTCGATGCAAATCTTTAGATAGTGTTAAATTTTAAAAAATTGGTGGATTATTCCAAAAGCTACATAATCTGCTAGTTTCTTATTAATATCCCGATTAAGATAAAGTATGTCGAATGAAAAAAGGATTATTAAAAAATATTATTTCTCATAAAAAAATTGTGTTAATCCGTACACTTTTCAATAAGTCATAGCATTATAAAGTTAAAAATGTAAAAAATAAAATCGAGAATTTTCATACAAAAAAAAGCATTTGGTAGCCATTTTCACCATGAAGACAAAATAAAGTCCGAAATTTTTTTTTTCCATAATAAATAGCATTACACNAAAATAAAGTCCGAAATTTTTTTTTTCCATAATAAAGAGCATAACACTAGCTTTAATTTAAGATATATATAAAAGTGTCAGACTTTCCGGACATATTCAACAGTCAAGTTGAAAAAGTTAAGTTTTTGAGAAAAAGTTGTCATTTTAAATCCCCCCTTGTGGGCAGGTAAAGAGTCAAATTTATAAAAAAAAAATACACCAAATAAAAGGCAATGACATCATGCATCTACACAAAAAAAAATTATATTGATTTGTTCATTTTTAAAAAAGTTGTGGCAATTTTAAGTAAAAAAATTGAAAATATTTCGAAAATAAGCGATTTTTAAATTTGTAATTTTTTTTGAGGTATCCCCCATTTACGGGGAACGAGGGAAATTTTTTCAATTTTTAAGGATAATGTCTTCGACTAGATACGATTTGTGATCTTTTGACGTATCGTTGAAAGAAATCCGTTCGGTGAGAGCTGAGAAAAAGTGGTAACAGACACAAAAAAAAACACATCATAGTAAAACCAATACCTTCTCAGCTTCGCATCGAAGCTAAAAAGATAGGAACAACAACTGGTTTTTTTTTTTGGCAAGTGCCGGCGCAACAGGTTGGTGATGGAAACGGCTGATAAGAACTAATTGTCTCCACCACACCTTGTCGCCTGGTTCGAACACAGTATAAGTAAACAATAATTATAAAAAAAAAATTCAATAATATTAAAATTATATCAAAAATTATAAATTTTTTCATTTAGGTCTGTTACACTCTTTATATGTAAAAAAATTCATTTATTTTTATGATTATAAAACCATATAATAAAAATGCATTAATTATAATGTAATATATGAAAGTAAAGTATAATTTTTAATTAACTACCTGATGGTTCAGTTTTATTTATAACTAAATCTTTATTGGCTTGTATAAGACATTGTACGAGATCATCCCTCAAAATATTATTTTCTTCTCTAAATTTCATTGTATCACTAAAAGCAGATACGAAAAATTCCACTATCTCTGGTTGTATATCATTAAGCTTAAGTTTTTTTTTTAACGATGGCGATATTCTTAATACCAATTGACTTAACATTGACCAAAAATCAGGTGTAAATATAGCTTTACCAGCTTTCCGAAAAGGTGAATCAGCATCAGTAATGGTATTCAGTTTTAATCCAAAAGCACAAGTACCAATAACGTCTGTTGAATAATTTCCCATCATTTCTTTTACTTCAATAATGTCATCGTTTTTAAGATGTTTTTCAATTTTTTCAATTAATTCGTTACTGCATTCTTTTATCTGTTCGTGCATGTTTTTTAACATGCGAGGTGTAAAAACAAGACTGATTTTTTTTCTCATTATTTTCCATTTTTGGCCTTTCATTAAAAACAGATGATTGGCAAGTGGAGCTTCAAGATCAAAAGGTACTGCGCGGTCAGTGAAATATGAAAAGTCTTTAATAAGTATCTGTTGAATAAGCTCAGGATCACGTATCAACAAAATTGGCGTTCTCATTTGGTACATTCCAACGTACTTTGTTTTACTTGGATATCTGTAAATATTTTGAATTATAAATACTGGATTTTTCAACCCAAGTACAAATTCTAAGAAATTTCCAAACAACGGTATTGGACGAAAATGCGGTACATTTTTTTTGCTCCAATAATCATAAGTTGATGTACTAAAATAATAAAGTAATAAAATAGATAAAATANTTTTGCTCCAATAATCATAAGTTGATGTACTAAAATAATAAAGTAATAAAATAGATAAAATAAACAGTGCTATCGTTATTTCAAAAGAATTGAAACTGAAATTGGACAACATTATGACCAATACGCACTCCATTCAAGAACTACGTCAAAAATATATCGAAATTCTTAAAATATAATCCAAAATTCCCTTCACTTTACCTCCCTCCAACTTTTAATCTATCTGAATTAAAAAAACTAACAATTAGAATCATAAATAAAATCTTATATCACTTTTTTGAAAATTAATATACTTGTCCAAAGAAATTTAAATAATTATTGCAGAATTAGTTATTACTATTATTATATAATAATAAATATGTATATATTTCAATATAGGTATGCAAAAAGTTTTAATAATATTATAAATAAAATAACTATGTAAGAATTTATAGAATTGTATTAAATTTTTCAAAAAAATATCGCCGGTTTAAAAGGCTATCGACAATAATCATACTTCTCATGAGATCCAGAAGTCAATTTTGAAATTTGTTTTTTTGAAAATAGTATAACTGTCATAGTTTTTTTTTATATTGACCTTCAATTTTTATTTTAGTAATACATATTGTATAATTCATTAACACCAAGTACTTTAGTATTTTAAGAGTAAGAACCCAACCCAACTGGATTAAGACATATATGGACTTCGTGGTGGTACCCTAAGATGAACATAGCAACAAAAAAAACCAGAAAAACTAGTGTTGGTATGTCATTAACTATGACAGACTAGTGAAATTCGAAATGGGCCCCGGGGCGTTGGCTCCCTCCTTCTACTGAGTCTGAATGGGCTTGCATCATATTTTGACACATTTTTTATACCTACTAAATTAATGCCGTAAAATTAATTAATTGTTACTACAATGATAAAATTATGTTATCAGTAAATGAAAACAATAAATGGAATTGGCGAAGCATCAACTTCAACATTATATAACTAGTGTCGTATACTATAAATAGCCTTTTAATAGACAATATTGTTTCATTTATAAATGTTTATGCTTGATGTGACAAATTTAATTATTACCTTAAAATAAATATTATTGTCATAAATTATAGATCGAGATTTTATTGTAACAAATTTAATGATTTATATTAATGATAATTAATTGAAAATTGTATAAATTGCTGTATCTATCCTTTGAATGTCTTTATTTTACTATTTAGTAAAATAAATTTAAATTGTTACATTATGTCACTAGATTTACCTATTTTTATACCTTTAATTAATCATAATTTTGAAGAAAAAATTTGAATTTTTCCATTTATCAATCATGAAGTATTATTGAGATCCATTTCTTAAAAAATAATGAATTTTAGTTTTTTTTTTAAGAAATATTTTTTTGTTATCATTAATATCGCTTAAAATTATTTTAAACTTTATTCGTTTGTGTAATATATCACTTCAAAGTTTTAGTTGAAAAATAAAATATGACGTGCCATATATTTATATATTGTAACACAAAACAAAGTACTTGGAGGGCACAATATATTTAACTTGCTTAAATATCTGTTAGTAGGTATCGACGGTGAATTAATGTATCGTTATAAACACTACTAACGGTTAACTGTATTTATATATCTCTCTTATTTAATTATTCATAGGCTACATATTTGTTAAATAAAACAAACGAATAAATCTTAATAAACTATTTAAACGCTGATAATCATTAATATAATTTTAGCTTCGATGCGAAGCTGAGAAGGTATTAATTTTACTATGATGTGTTTTTTTATTTTAGCTTCGATGCGAAGCTGAGAAGGTATTAATTTTACTATGATGTGTTTTTTTATTTTTTTTTATTTTTTTATTTTTTTTTTTTGTGTCTGTGAACGCTCAATCTCAGCTCTCGCTGGACCAATTTTTATGAACAATATGTCAAAAGATCACAA